CTGGAACCCCAACAATAATTTGTCTCTTGACTCCAGTGTCTTTATCAGTCCTTTGAGTGAGAGGTTGTTGTTGGTGCTGTGAGCTGGTTTTATCCCTTAACGCAGTATCAACAATCCTTAGGCAAAACTTGAGAAAACTTTTGCCACCATCAATTCCGAGCTTAACATAATAGCCACCAGAAATTTTGCGGTACTGAATAACATAACTCACAAGACTTGATAAATCATTACAGTGAGAAACAACATGAACTGTACAAAAATCTGTTTTTTCGTCTGTAATTTTTAAGTCGCTGCAGGTGAAGAAATTGCTCAATTGTTGACCTAGTCTTTATTTATAATCTTTCATTCATGTAGAAATTTCGCTCTACGATATTGCTGCTTGATATTGTGTTTAACAAGTTTCTTTAGTCCGTTATTTGACAGACCCGTATTTAATTGCACATTTACAAGGAGCACTTGATGGTGTCTCCGCACTACATTGACCTAAAACCAAAACATACATATTTTATAGTTACAATAAACTTTGTTTTGTAAGTTTGTGTATAACTTTCAAATTATTCGTTTTGAAAGAAATTAGAAACTTGTCAAAAATATACTTCTTGAAATCTATCTTGTGTTATTTCTTAATAGTCAAGATTTTTATTTCAATATATATGTAAAAAAATATTTAAGTATAAATATTTATCAGGGGTAACTGTAAGTGGAGGCCCGCCGGATGCTTTAGCCAGTAGAATAATTCCTTCCGGAGATAATTCTTTATTGGAAATAACTCGAAATGTGATTTGTTCGGATGATTTTGCATCTTTTGCTGCTAAAGAGCAGCAAAAGATGCAAAATTTTCCCTTAACATTTTTTGAGAGCATTGGTGGGGCAAACCTTTTCCTAAAGGGCTGAGGCATTTGCTTCAACGCACCTTTGGTTTTTTCTCAATAGTGGTTTGCTCTATAAGAGGATGTTTTTCTTGCAGCTTTGAACAACCAATTCGGCATATTAAAAAACAACACATCGTGCCTCTTGTTTCAGGTCTCACTTGTATTGACTTTAAATCAAACAAGGAAGGGAGTGCAACTTCTTTCCCCACTTGTTTCCTGCGTAAAGTAATTCTACACGATTCGCAGAATCCTTTTGGTACTCGAGTATCAGTGATATTGATCTTAGTCTTGTATAGTTGGCATATTCGATCTGTTTGAAAAGTAGTAAGCTGTCTTACAAATTTTTTCTGACAGAGCAAGCACACAAACTTTTTATTTTCATCATGATTCTTTGCTTGATTTGGCATTGTGGCAATTCACTAAATTTGACTTAACTAAATCAAACTCTGCCTTTTACAAAATTTGACCTAAATTTATATTTGATAACAATCCACTTAACATAGTAACACATATTAATAATTAAAAACTTTTAAAATAAAGGAAATATTTACTTGATTTAATTAAAAAAATATTAATTTACAAGGAAATAATTTTGAATATTTCTTTCCTTACCAGGAAACAATTGTTTGAGCTATTTACTTGTAAGAAAATTACATTATTGATAATTGTCACACTTATTAAACTAATGATATTTGTCAAACGAGTTGTTTTATTTCAAAACAACCCTTCAACCTAATTAGTTATTCAGTTAGAGTAATTTTCTTCCGACTGGCCCTCTAAACTTTGTATTGGTCAGACATCTTAGTTATTAACTAATCTAAATTTTTTAAGTCAATTATCTTTGTCAATATAAAAAATATTTGGTTTTTTAACAGTTGTTCTGTTTATAGATAAATAAATATTTTTATTTTCTATGTAGGTATATCTAGAAATCCTTCTTAACGATTTTTTTTTAAATTTTATGCATTCTGGCAGTAGTTTATACCTTAGGAAATGTTGGTATATTCTCGCTATGCATACGTGGCCGTCAAGGGAGCCATGGCCTGCCCACTTTTTTTTGCGAGGACTATTTGCTTTAGACATATAGGCAATTTTTTTAGAAATTATGGATTTTATTTAAGAAATTGAGGGGTTGACCCCCTCCACTTTGAAGGCGGTGTTAACGCCATTGGCATAAGCCAATTCAAATCACGCTTTAAGTAGCAAATCACTATTTTGGTCTTTAAAATGAAAACTGTACATGTACCAATAAAATAATTATAACAAAAATTGTTGGTATTACATAGTAGAACACTCATGTAACCGTTATTTTAAAAGTAAAAACTTATTTTAAGTGACAAAATTTCAAAGTAATCGGTAACGCTTTGATTCCTACACCAGTCATTCAATTAGGCTGAGATTTTGTCCAGAGTTTGGTGTGACTATTTGCTACATTTGCACTAATTTTTATCAAATTATATTGAGTGGTTTAAATTCTACAAGTGTTTTTATTGGTGCACTATGAAGTCAAATTTTGACTTAGTTTGAACATTCAAATTAAATTATTTTCCGCGGACAAAATTAAATGATTTCAAAATTTGAATCACAGGGTACCTTGATGTGTACGCTAACTTTCCGTATAAGTGGCATTCCTGGGACAACTAGGTAGGCATTATAAGGATCCGTGCTAACCGTGAAATGTTAGTAATTATGTTATCGAATAGAGTTGAAGAACTTTCTATGATCCTTGTTGGTTTGGTTATTGAAAGATTATTTTGATAATTCCATCTTGAAGCACATTCTCACACATAAAACGACTGATGGTAAAGATTTAGGCATATTTTTTATTTTTGACTTTTTATTTATGACTACACTACAGAATAATATTTATAGTCATTGCCGATTACGCAGAAATGCCAAAAAAGCTGCCGTTTACGTGAATTCGGCAATTACCCAGATTCAGGACAACATATTGTTTTTCAATTAAAGAATAGTTTAAACAACACAAATTAATGTTTAAATTTATATTTATTTCCATTTACAATCAATAATAGTTTCCAAAGATACACATATAGATTATAATACACGGCAGTTTCACTCAATATAAAAGCGAGCTTGACGTCACAAGAACTTTTGTGTTTAAAAAAAAAAAAAGAATTTCCGCAAAAAAAGGTATAAAAATTCACTAACTTTAAATTAATAGTATTTTTTTTTTTTTCTATAAACGCTTTAATCTTCGAATGAAAAAAATATAAAAGAACTATGTTTCTTTGTTAAATAAATATTTACATGAAACGAAATAAAAATAAACATTGTTAAAATATTTTAAATGATTTTGGATCACTTTTCTGTTTTTTGCTTATTTTACGGAAAACCTGTTTTGGGCCAATTAAGATTTGATGTTTTAAGCTACATGCTAGATGATTGAAATTTTACATACTTATAAAAAAATGTCTATTTTATCAGATTTTTGGAGGGCATAGATAAAAAAAATAGTTTAAGTTAGTTTTTTTAGCATTATTCTTTTTGTTTTTTTTGTTTTATATGAAAAACGTTTAATTTTTGTTATGCCCTCCAAATTATTGAAATTTCAACCCTTTTTGCACATGAAAATCAAAAAAATTACTTTCTGCACTTCTAACTAAAACGTCTTCAACCTTGGCAAATTTTGATGCTTTTAGTAACAAAATTTGTAGTTACATGCGTAAAATTTTTGTTTATATTTTAAAGCAATGACGTAACTTTAAATGCGTTACTTCCCAATTCACTATTTAATAAAATTTATTAAAACAGCATTTTTAGCGAGACAAATTTTAGTGTATAAATAAAACAAACTTTAGCGGTGTTATTTTTTTTCGTGGCTAATCTACAAACATCAGTTAAGTTGATATCTATTCCATACTTGTTATTTGTCAATAATTATTATTTGATTTTATTTGTTTGTATTATATTTTTATTGAGAAGTTTATTTATCCCTATGCATTCTAGTGAAAAGGAGATATTAATACTGTACATTGGATGGGAAAATGGCTGGGAAAATGAATGTAACTTTTCTTTTATTAAGCGATTAATGAACGCTGATAAAATCACTAATAACGTGATTTTAATTTTACTTAAAGTCTTTCCATCTAAAGCATTGTTTAGTTTTATAAATTTAATTATGCCATTGAGTTTAATTTGCCTTTTATTGAAGACTTTAAAAAAATGTCCAAAAAATTATTAAGACAAAAAAAAGATTCTATAAAAATTTATGAAGCTTCTAAAAACGAAGAATTTTTTCAAGGAGTGTAAGACTTGAGATTGTCAAGCTGATTCGTCTTTGTCGCATAATGAGAATGTGAAAACAAATGAATTGTGGGCTGCTAAAAGCGTTAAATTTTCTAAAACAGCAGAAACTTTGCGTTTATTAGGAAATCAATTTGTAGACATTGCAAATCTAAAGGCGCGATGGTTGGCTTTTAATAACAATTTTTTCGAATTAGAAAAAATATCCCTAATCTCCTCCAATAGAAAAACAACCTGTAAACAGCAAGAAATGTGTGCTAGTATCAGGTGTTTAATTACTAAATATGATTGTAACGTTGATTGGGTGCAGTGTGTTACGTGCCAAAAATGGTTTCATCAATTTTGTGAAGTTATTGGTGATTCAGAAAAAAGTGCATTGTGTGACATAGAGATGTACTAGTGTTTAGCGTGTCAGGGTGAAGATATAGAATGTCTTGACCTTTATATTTCTGAAAAAATTTCTTTTATACGTGCACAACGCGAAGTTTTAGACATTGAATATATTAAATTGCAGGTAGAGTGTGAAGACCTAGAAAAATATCTAAAAGTAGCATGGGGACTCAGGAGAGGTCTTTTAATAAGGCCCTTAAAGATAAGGTTGAGCGACAAGCGTACCATGGTAATGTATTTGTGGGTAATCATTGCAAAATAGTCTTAAGAAACCACTATAAACTTTGTAGTGTTATTGATGATGAAGCTATTAATAATAGATTTGTACGTGTGTTTAATGTTTTTAATAAGTTGCAACCTATTCTTTTTAAGCGAAAATTTCTTTCTGATGCCGAAATTACTGAGCTTCATCAATATATAAATTTATTTGCTATCGAGTTTCATGCTTGCTTTCCAAAAGAAAGCATGAAACTCGTTAACACGCGAAAAATGCATGAACTCATTTTTAATGTGCCACTTTTTGTAAAATTGCATAAAACTATTGTTTTGCTGAGTGAAGAGGAGGGAGAGTGTTTGCATAATAGGGTATATAAGGAATTAAGACAGTTGCATTCAGTAAGAAATCAGGAACAGAAGCTGCGTCTTGTTTTAAAACGCTTTGAATTGCACAGCAAAGCTGATAGGAAGCTTCAAGCCTCTAAGGTGAGAAAGTGTGTTGTGTGTTCTGAGCGTGGTGAAAATTCATTTTATAGACGAGGCCTTTGTCTTGTTTCTGGTCATAAAATTTAGTCTAAATAATTAAAAAATAAAGTTTTAAAAATATTTATTATTTTTTATTATTAATTTTATATATTAGATAGGTGCCCATTTCATTCTTATCTTCACAAGTTATTTATACTTATGCAATACCATCCAGGTTAAAGAATGGTACATAAGTCTTGCATCAAATGGGTGTAAAAATATAACTTACTACTTTAACTTATGAGCAGAGCAACTGGTAAGTTTGTTTGCTTAGTAGTATTAGTTTGTGTAGTTAATTTTAAAAATGTATTGTCATTTATTATATGTAACATTTAATTTAAATATTAGATGCCCTTTCAATTATAATCATCAGAAGTTAGTTCTACCTCTGCAGTACCTCTCCTCAACATACCTTCTCTCTGGTTAAAGAATAGAATTTAAGTCTCATAAATAACAAGTTAGTGTAAAGATACAGTTTAAATAAAGAATTTGTAAAAGTTATTGTCACTATTGTGAGTCTGTTATAAGCCATCTTCTAATCTTGTTGAACAAAAACTATCTTCTAAAAACTAATCTTTTGGTTTAGAATGGAGCATGAATCTAATATCAACCGGGTGTTCAAAGATCGTTTTCTACTTAAAGGACAGAATCAGTAGATCAACTTATTATAAAACAGTTTTATATGAGAATAAAAACACATCAAACAAATAAAATTAGCTATTTGTTTATTTAAACAAATGTTTTATTTTTTGTGAGAAGATATTGACTCAAGTGCCATAAAATAATTCTATTACCAAAAGCGAGGTTAATTCAAAAAATTTAACACAGTTGTGGTCATGAATTATTTTATTAGTCTTAGTGAGTCTTAATTTTTTAACAACTTAACACCATATTATTAAAACTCTATGCATAGAAAAAAAGAAATTGCTAAAGTTTTTTAAAGGCTTTAGCTTGGAATGTTAAGACTAAATATTTCAAAATCGATATCTGGCTTTATTTTGTAATGCATTGAATTAGTGAATTTTTTTCATATTTAAAAACGTACTCATTTAACAGATAATTCTTCTTTAAACGACATTTTTAATAATTTTGCAAAAAATGCGGTTTGCTTGCAAACTTCAATTGTAAGTGTTTTTGTTAACCTTAAGCAATTAAGTAAGGTTTTTTTATTTTAATAATAGTCAAACAACGAGTGTAATTGATAATAACTATCAGAAATATATTTTTCTGATTTTTTTTTGATAAAAAGTAACAAGAAATTACTAAAATTTAGCCAAGTTCATCATTTATCGCGTTTTTTATAAACTAAAAGAAGTTTTTTTACTATTGTATTAAATATCGTATGATAAAACATTTTATTTTTGTTTTTATTCTTTTTACAAAACAAAATTATCTCAAAAATTTCAAAAGTTATAAATGTTTTAGTAACACCCCCTAAGTAAATATTTTCTAAAAAAAAACAAGAAGCCGTAAAGCTCACTCTGAAACAGCCGTGAATATACTTCATTTGAAAGTCAAGCTGTTTTAAAGAAGGTATGTCGGGGGTTGTACGTAACTGTAGATTTAAGCAGTAATACTCTTGGACCAAGTATGACATAAGCCTCTTTGTACTCGTTAATGGTTGACATATATTTAGGTAACATGTTAGAACTAAGATATGCAACTTTTAACAGTTTTGAACATTTAAAAAAGTAAACTTTAGAAATGCTATGTTCATCTTTTTCCTTTTTCCGATTTTATCAATTCTTTATGAATATTTTTCAGCATTAAACTATTTTTTAACATTCTCCACCTGTAAGCTTGGATTTTATTTAATCTTTAATGGAGGCTTTGTAAGCATTTAGCTGATAAACGATGCCAAAAAAAAATAATGCCTAAAAAAAATAAATTGGTCAATTGACCATTTAACTTTCTCAAGATTAAAATGAAATTCAGTCACATTTTATGCTAAGCCAATAATAAACCTTTTGTTTACACCGCATTCGTTGTATTTTTCATAGCCTATTTCTTCCTCATAGCCTTCAGAATGTAATTCTTTGACAATTTTGTCTCAGAGCTTTTCAATTGTTCAATAGCAAGTGCTTTTGGCTGCAACCTTGATTTTAGTTCCCTAATTCACAAATTTTTTTTTCGATACTTTAGAGCACCGCGGATAAACATTTAACTAGTAAGTTCACGCATCCTTCCTTACCAATAACGTTTATGTGGCCATAGGTGGCATTGAACCACCGACTTTTTGGATCTGAACCAGATTTCCTTATGCACCACGACTATTTATTATATTTCAGAAATAGAAATAAAAAATGCTGAGGATTCAAACTAAACCAACTTTGTCTCTTTTTTGTTCATTTTTTATTTATCAGTATAAAAATTAATTTTATTATTGACCGCATAGAGGTAAAGAGGGGCAGTGAGGTTTGGGGTGTGACAAGGAAACAATTTAAAATCAAATTGATTAATCACCACTATTTTCCATTTTACTTATTTTTTAAAATTTTCGAGATTTTATTTCATTATGCGGTCTTAATTCAGTTAAGTTTTTCCATTGATAATTTCAACTTGTTTTAAATAAAAAAACATACTAAAACATTATACAAAGCTTGCTATCATACACTATTTTGTTATTATTTGAACTAATGGATTTAATGGATCTTAATCGTGGTCTAATGGAACTTAAATGATGTTCCATTAGAGCAAGAATTTTAATAACCTTTACGTCATCAGGCAGATCAACTAGTGGAAGGTTAACGAAATTAATATAATTACAGCTGAAAGCTTGAATTTTGTTTAATCTTTACAGAGGCATTGTAAGCATTTAGCTGATACACAAATACTTCTCAGAGTTCTGAGCTCACCATGAGTTTGAAAACCTTGAATTTCTTCTTTGGTCTTGAATTTCTTCTTTGGTAAAGCTCAGAATAGATGAGCAAAATATTGAACAATATGTACTAAAATAAAAAGAAATATATATTTTTAAAAAAAGTTCTCACTTATTTATTGAAATTTAAATACAAAAAAGTTTATTGTTGAGGGCCATCGTCATTATCAAGGTTTGACAAGCCAAATCATTTTCAACACATCATTCTAACTTGATTTCTAAAACTTTGATTTAATTCTCCACGCAAAAAACTTTAAACATCTTTTTGAAACTTGCATTCACTGACAGTATTTGCAAATACTGTAAGAAAAAAACGTCGAACCGTGGTTGGATTTTCGTCACGACGCAAGTTAACTAAATTCCAACGACTTTCCAAAATTGGCATAACGGTGTTTTTCTAACGTTTGTCGATCTAATATTAAAACAGCGTCGGAAAAACGTCATCAACTAACGTCTTGAACAATTAATGTTAAACAACGTTTAATTAACTTTAGAACAACGTTGTTAATAATAGATTTTTTAATGTTTTTACTTTTAACATTGAAGCAACATCAGCATGGTTGTAAAACCGTGGTCGAAAAAAATGTTAAGTTTAATTCTGTTTTTTAAGCATTATGATCAGTAATACTACTATTTATTACATCATTTCTTTATATTCTACATTGATATAAGATTCCCAGAGACACTAAAATGCTCATCCCAATAAAAAGAAGGCTACTAACCAGAAAGAATTCCCTAGTCTATGAAACTTATTAAAGAAAGAGAAACTCGAGCATAAGGATCTTGAATCAAGGTTAATGTATATAATCAATTCATTCAATGAAAAGGCAATGAAGTTTAAGAACAAGAAATTGTCATTTTGGGCCAATATTCTAAAACAGTCAGCGCCCACGTAAATTCATCTTGAATTTGACTAGTTTGTAGAACCCACCATTGGTGGGTTCCGTTGGTTCCATAGTTTGTAGAACCCACCGTTGGTGAGCCACCAATGACCAATCTGTCATTAATAAACAACAAAGTACATTAACTTCTAATTTGTTGACCACTAAAAAAAAAAGAACAGTGGCTCAAGATTGTATCAATTCTGAGCTTTAAATTGTGAAGTTGCTGGGCTGAAGACTAGGAAGAGAAGTAAAACCATCCTCTTCAGCTTCAGCAATGAAGCTGAAGAGGATGATTTCGAAAAAAAAAAGGAAATCAGCTCATCAAACCAAAGAGCTAACCAAGATAAAGTATGATCAAGATCAACAGAAGAAAGCAAGAGAACTAAACTAAAAAGAGCTAGAATGGAGGAAATGGAACATCCAGAAGGCAAAGAGAAACTAAAAATCAGAAAGAAACTTGATCAACCGTCATTAGAAGATCAAAATCTCCTTTTTGAAGACAATTATTGATATTGCTGTTTAAGGTTCGTCCGCTGATGAAAGACGTCAGTCAGAGGTTCTTCGGGTAATATAATTTATAAAATAAATCCTTTTTTCTGTTAAATACTTTATTATATCCAAATATATCCTTTTATTATTTAGAGCATTATAACCCTTGATGAATTGACATCCAATATAAACCAAATCGGATTTGCAATCAGCAAGAGCGCACTGTTTACATGTCTACTTCCAAGACATTATGAAACATCAAAAAGCAGAAGTCACGTCAAAATAGTCTCTGTTAGTCAAAACAGTCTCTGTTAGATTGATCAAAGCTCAGAATGAGCTCTGATCAATTTAACAGAGGACTGTTTTAATGTTTCTTTATAAATGTTACCTTATTAAATAAGATACAATAAAATATCGATTTTGTCCAATAACATCAAAAATCATTTCGATATCTTAGAAATAAAATATTCCTCACAGTAATGCTGAGTTGGAAAGTTTATCATTGGAAAAAAAAGGAAACCACCTGAAACAGCTGTTGAAAACCTCAAAAAAAGGAAACCACCTAAAACAGCTGTTGAAAACCTCAAAAAAAGGAAACCACCTGAAACAGCTGTTGAAAACCTCAAAAAAAGCAACATAAACTTGCAATTGTAAACATACTATTTTAATTTTTCTTGTTTGAAAAAAAGTACATTTTAAACATTTATTTACATGTATCCACGTTTTTTTTTTGTAAATCTCAAGGTATTTTTAATGAATCTCAAGGGTTTTTTAAAAAAAGGTTATAAGGTCTGTATAAATATTTTTAAAATATTTTTTTTTCAGCTGCTACTACTTGCTTCATTTATTTGTATTTTATTTGCGAAAATATTGTAAATTAAGTATAACATCTCATGAAAAAAATAATACAATTAGTTTAGATTTAATGAATATTTTGATACAAAAATTAGACTATTTAGGCTGTAAGTGGACGATACATTGATAAATTTATGGAGAAAAGTTTAGCCTGGCTTTGAAAAGACTTTATTATTTCCCAACAAAATTTTTCTTTTTGCATTACAGAAACTACACCTAAATTATTTTATCTAAATGATGGTTATTCTGCTATCAAAAACATAGCACCATCAGTTGCCCACCTTGATATCTGGATAATGGAACTCATGAACATCATCTCGAAACAGAAAGCAACTATAAACTCGCAAGCTAATCTAATAAAAAAACTTGAACAAAAAGTAGGAGATATAGAAAATAAACTCAAACCCGAGTCAGTCACCTAAACAAGTTCAAGCGGGTCATCCTGGAGTAGTATCGTCAGAAAAACGGCTAATTCAACACCACTAATCGTTCAAGTTCTATTCGAACTAAAGCAATCAGCAAAACGCGAAAAAAATATAGTAATATTTGGTGTCCCTGAACCAGCTTATGCAGCTGATACTGTCCAAGCATCGCCAACAG